AAAGACATATTTAGATTGCAGATACATTTCAGCTGTTGAAGCATGTTGGCGTATTTTCCAATATGATATTCATTTCAAATATCTAGCAGTAGAACGATTACCTTTCCATCTTCCAGACGAACAACCGGTTGTTTTTAACGAAAATGATAACCCGGAGTCGGTAGTGGTCGAGCCTGGAGTAAGTAGAACAAAGTTCACAAAATGGATCGAAACCAACATAAGAAATCCCGATGCCAGAGAACTTAGTTACTAAACATTCCCAAAACACTGGGTCTGGAATGCAAGGGATAGAATGTGGACAAGACGTAAAAAGGGCATATCAATTGGCATAATATACTTCACTCATCCGTCATCCGAAGAAAGGTTTTACATGCACATGTTTTTAAACTTTGTAAAAGGATACACTTCGTACGAACACATTCGAACAGTGAATGACATCACATATCCTTCTTTCAAGGGAGCTTGCTATGCTCTTGGATTGTTAGATAATGACGATGAATGGTTGATTGTTTAACAGAGGCAGCAAATTGGGCAACTGGTCACGAGTTGCGACATTTATTTGTCACAATTCTTGCAAATTTCCAAGTCTCAAATGCACCAAATCTTTGGAAAAGAATAACGCAACATTGTCTGAAGATATAGCAACATTACAATGTAAAAAATACAGAGCATACGCTATGCAACTAACGAATGATCAAATTGAAGCTCACACATTGTTCGAGATCGAGGCAATCATATTGAAAATGGGCAAAAGTTTAAAATACATAGATGAAATGCCACTCCCAAATAATGAACTTTTACGAGCATTTCGTAATATATTGGTCAATGAAGAACTTGACTATTGTACCTTGGATTTGAAGGTTGCTCATGACATCTTTCTAGTCTCAATACTTGCCAAAGAAGAGCTTATGATGCCATTCTTGTGTTGTTGTACAATGATCGAGGTGACCTGATTTTCATTCATGGTCGTGGAAGAATGGGGAAAACTTTTCTTTGGAATACAGTCGTATCAAGACTTAGATCAGAAGGAAAGATAGTATTACCGATTGCTACTTTAGGCATTGCATCTTTGTTACTACCAAATGAAAGAACGACTCATTCAAGATTCTGAATCCTATTGGATTTAACTGTAGAGTCAAGTTGTAAAATTCGTCACGACACACATATAGCTGAGTTACTTCAACAAACGACATTGATTATTTGGGATGAAGCCCCTATGGCACATAAACACTTCTTTGAAGAATTGGATAAAAGTTTGCATGACATAATGAGTTTTCATTATGAAAATAGTAAAGACAAACCAGTTGGTGGACTCACAGTTGCTTGTGGTGGTGACTTTCGGCAAATTTTGCAAGTAATATCAAGGGGAAATCGAGCCAATATTATGAATGTCGCACTACATTCATCTTATTTGTGGCCTTTGTTCAAAGTATACGAGCTTAATGAGAATATGCGTTTGCAATGCAACACTTAGTCACCGACAGATATAATAAATATTAAGGTGTTTGACTCATGGATGTTACAAATCGGAAATGGCACTGCTTACGATGATGTAACCAATGAATTGCTACAGTTGCATACTGGCATCTTCCCAGAAACAGTTGGCGACCCGATTGAATCAGTCATTGAAATGATATATCATTATCTCTTGGAAAACTGTAATAGTCCTTCATATATAACTGAAAGGGCAATTCTCACACCAGAAAACGATATGGTCCAAGAATTGAATACATTTATTATAGACATGCTTCCAGGAGAAGGAAAAACATATCTAAATTCAGACACGGTTTGCAAAGGAAGTGTACAAACAAATGATGAAATTCCCCTTTATCCAATTGAATTCTTAAACAGTTTGCAATTCAATGGCATACAAAATCACGAGATTCATCTAAAGGTAGGAGCCCCAGTTATATTATTACACAACATCAATCAAACAGAAGGATTGTTCAATGGAACACGATTGATTGTCACATTACTTGGAACATGGTCTGTTAGAGGTGACATTATTTCCGGAACTAATAAAGGAAAAAGTTTCATTGTTCCAAGAATAATAATGTCGCCCAACAAATCAAAATGACCATTCAAGCTTAACCAACGTCAAATACCATTGGTCCCATGCTTTGCTATGACAATTAATAAAATCCAGGGATAATCTTTAAGTCGTGTTGGCCTATACCTCCCAAAACAGGTACATTCCTCAATTTTCGTATATTAGGATATTTAAATATGTACTTATATAATTGCATAATATTCCAATTGATAGGTTTTCACACACGGACAACTATATGTGGTTGTTTTACGAGTGACATCGCATGAAGGATTAACCATAATAAATGCTGATGAAGAAATGGAACACTGTACACTCATAAAAAACATTGTCTACCATGAAGTTTTCAATAACATTCATCCATCCACCGAGTAGATAAGGTAATATTTTACTAAGTTTATATATCCATATTCTCTAAAATCCAACTTCTAATATTTCTTCCCATATTTATTATGATTCTCACTAACGCCTATGATGGTTAATGCAATTCTATTCAACATCGTATACAAGAAAATTTTCATAAAAAGCTTCATCGAGGATTATAATATATTGAAGATAGAGTTGGATGATAAACGATTGAGTAAGCATAGAAGAAGAAGCTTCGACTATTGACCAAGCTGAACCATATACATAGGGATCTACATAGGTTATTTTGGTTTATCTTATTTGTTTCTTTATATATTAGAATGACTTTATTTTAGTTATTGTTTTCGGATGAATGATGTTTTTTATTTATAATACCGTATAACGCGCAATTATCATACTAGTTAATTGTTATATGTAAACAACATTTACATGGTGTCTTATCTAGCCATTACTTGACAAATCAGCCAAAAAAAAAAACAAACACTATTACAACTTACTATTCTAATTTGAACCAAAAAGACAAGCTCCATAAAACATTGGTTTTTCTTGATTTTGGCCTGTTGAGAATATGTAAACCTAAGTTACTAGTTTGGATGAGATTTTACGTTTTAACCAGATGTAAATGTGTAATTGGCATATGAAAAGGCCAAAAAAATAGAGGTGTGCAAACAGATCTAATGAGTCGTTTACCAAACGCTTACCAAATCATATTACCTTACCGGATGAATATGACAATGACAAATAATTTTACCCGACAAGAGCAAATGCAAGGACCAAGAGTCTTACCTGATATGTGAGGGCGATGAGTCTTACCATGATTAGCACTTACCGGGTAAATTATTACATACGATACCCTTTAAGTGGAATAAAATCTTACCTGATAAGTAGGAGATTGTTTGTTTACCTTTACCAGTTTCATTAAGATGCAACCTCTAAATCACTAAGAGGTGAATCTTGTTTGGCAAAAAAAAAAAGTCTGTCTCTTAATGATTCTAAAACCCTCTTAATGATTTTGAATCTTGAGCCTCCCTCAACCATTCAGCGTCTTAATTTCATTCTGAACAATTATCAAACAACCATATTTTGTTTTGTATTATATCATAATAGACTCTTAATCATTCTGATTACTTAACCATCCTACACCATCAACAACTGTCGAAAAAACATCTACATTAATATTAAATTTTACCGATAAACACTTATCCAAATAAACATTTGACAAACGGTCCCTAAACATTATACCGGTCATGGGCAATGGTCCTATAAGCTCAGTTCATGGCCCAATAAACCAATTTCATTTTGTTATAAAAACCCGATTTAGGCATGAATTAGTTGATTCTTTTTTCATGTATTGTCTAATTTCGTATATTTTTATTTTCTTCATAGAATTTATTTGAGGCATTTCTGATAGTCGAACAAATAGAAGTTTTCTTTTAACAATTAAAGCTTTTTTTAGTTGAAATGCGCGACATATAATCTATTATTGTTTCAATTAAAGCAGAAATAGCATGAGTTTGAAATCGATCAAGATTGTTGAGTTCAAACTTTCAAATCTAATGTCCGGTTTGGTTTGAAGGAATGGAATGGATTTAGAGGGATTTGCATTTCAAATCTATTTCAATCACATATTTGGTTTATTGGATTGTCCGGATTTGAAATACTAGAATTTAATTGAAATCTTTCAAACATAGGATTTTCCAAAGAAGAATGAGAATTTCTGAAGTTTTCTTGGGGTTTTTCGCTTCAATAGCATAAGCAAACAAGTCAAATCAATGCAGCTTTCTTTCCCAGCCTAAAGATCTTATCCTCTTGCGGCTGGAGCTCTTGATGACACGTTCAAGTGAGTTTATGAATGAATGAAATCAGTTGAAGGAGCGGCCAAGGACGAAAGCTTTGATTGGGTTCTGCTATGGTTGGCCTTTTGAAATCTTTAGGGAGTGTTTGGGATTTCACGGGATTTCGTAGGATTATATGCAATAAGGTTCTAAAATATGTTAAAAACATTTGTTTTGTAAAAATCGATTAATAAAAATGTAATTCAATTATTTTTTTAATTTTTTCTATAAATTATTCATAAATAATGAAATCCAATTTATTCCAAATCATACAAACCAAACACACCAATAAGTTCAAAATCATTCCAATCCAAATCTCTCCAAATCTAAATCCCACTACAAAATCCATATCTCTCAAAAACAAACTTGCAAACCAAACGGATCATAATCAAGACTAAATATAAATAACTTGGTTGCAAAGTAAATTACATGTATTTTTTATCTCACCCATCAATTATTTTATTTTATATTATTTGTTTAACTATTTTCTTTTTAAATTTTTTCTATTTTAATAATATCAATAGTTTATTGACGAGAAGAAAAAGGATACGAAACCAAACAAGAGTTGACTAAGTGAAAGTCAAAGTAGTTGATTAGTCAATTTCATTTACCACTTCACCTTCAAACAACAGCAAACCCTAATTAGCACTCTCAATAACATTTGAAGTGAAAGCAAAGAAACCTCAACCTTCACCCATCATCATATCATCAACAATAATACTCCCTCAATGCCTCCTCTCATCTCCACCATCATGGAAACCCAAACCCTACCGGAAAACCGACCACCACCACCACCACCCGCCGCCATAGACTACAGCTCCAATGTAGACACATCCCGTGCTTTCCGGTCGGTGAAAGAAGCCGTAGCCATCTTCGGAGAACGGTTTCTCACCGGAGAGATCTACTTACCATCATCTAAACCCCCTTTTACTGTACCCAAACAAGAAACCCCATCTTGGAAATCTACAGATAGCTCCCAATCTTCATGGAAATCATGCTCGTCTTCCCGAGAAAGCCAAGAAGAATCATCGTCGTTTCTGGTTGCTTCCATGAAAAAGATTCAGTCGGAACTCGAAGAAACAAAGAAAGAGTTGAAGTTACTGAAAGAGAGAGAGTCCGAGACGGAGGTGGCGTTGGCTTCTTTAAACGCCGAGCTCCACAAGAACATGTCAAAGATCACGAAATCTGATCATTCTGAGGCGGCGGAGAAAGCGGTGGCAAGTGGTGGTGGTGGTGGTGGTGGTGGTGGTGGAGACAGGATGATGGCGGAGAGAAAAAGGGTGAAGAAAAAACCGATAATTCCTCTTCTTGGAGACTTGTTTCCAAAGAAAAAGGGAAAACCAAATGCTTCTATTTTGAATCCACTTTACTCGTCTTCTCAGATGCATTGGATTTGACAATTAGGGTTTATGTAATTCCATGCATGCATGAATCCATTAAATTGCATTTGAAATCATTTTATTCGTTTCATTTAGTCAAGTGTGAATTAATCCGTTTCTAATTGAATATTTTTTTTTTGGGTGTTAAAATTGTGGGTTTGAAATTAAGTAAGGTGTTGTTTACCTAAATACTTATCCGGTAAGTACTTATTGTTAGAAGTCAACACTATAATTATTTTCTAAGTAAGATTGTAGTATATCAAAATGGTATCGTGTGCAACAATATATATGGTAAGCGTTTACCCGAGTAAAAGTCGTCATCCTCACTTACCGGGTAAGACTCTCTATCCTTATCATCGCTCTTATTAGGTAAGATTCTTGGGTCTTGCCATGTTCGTCCGGTAAGGAAAATTGCTCGATAAACACCTATAGGATAAACATTTAGTAAACGGCTCGTAAATATATATTTCTTCTCAATATAAAAATCAAATATTTTAATATATGTTTATATTAAAACAAATGTCCCCTTTAAAAAATATACTATTACATTAATATAGATTCATTAACAACAACTCCTACCATATCATTAAAAAAAAACCAAAAACCGCAAATACGGTGGATCCATAAACACTAAAAAAAAAACTAAACTTCAATCATACTCTAAAAAAAACATTAAATTTGTGGACCCCGCATTAAAATAACATACTTTATTTACTATTTTTATTAACAATAATTATAATTTGTAATAGATATTATAATAATAAATAATTAGTAATTAATTTATTTAATGAAAAACTATTAAAATAAAAACGATAAATTTTTAATTAATAAATTTTATATTAAAAAAATTACATTAATTCAAATAGCACAAATTAAAAAAAACACATAAATAATACTAATTCTCCGAGTTAGTATAATCATCCCACAAATATATTCGGAATCGTCGACGAAACATTGACTCAGGAAATCGAGGATTTTCAGAAAAATAATCATTGAAGAGATTGCGATCGACATTTTCTCGATCACGATTGATAACTATATGGCCAGGAATAGAACCTCGATAAGATACATGGTTGTTTTGAACATAATTACGGATATAGTTATCCACTTCAGACGCTAGATTGAATGTCTCACTCATTAATTCGACATTAGTATTATCAAAAGCCTCATCGTCTGAATACGAATTATCAGCCATTTGAGTGGTATTTCTCAACAAAGAAGATTGCAAATATAGTTGAGATATTTTTTTTATAGATGTGATTCAAGTTTTAATTATAGTGAGAATCAGTGGTGTTGTCAATTCTTACCAGACTTTTCAGAAGAATCTTACCAGTGTTGTCTAATCTGTCTTCATTTGGAGTGTACTAAAAATTTTGTATATAAATAGGGGATGAGTCGGTAAGCTAAATCACACACATTTTCATTGAGATATTACCAGCCTTTTCATAAAAATGTCTTCAACAATCCGAATTTCATTCTACAAAGATAACGAAGACATACATCTATGTCATTGTTATCTTGATATAACTCAAAATCCAATAATAGGTAGAAACCAAACAAAAGATAAGTTTTGGTCAAGAGTAAAAACTCATTATCACCAAACCGAACCATTCGCAACCAATCCTCGACCAAGAAGATCATTGGAAACGAGAATGTCTTGCATTCTAAAAGCTTGCAAAAAATTGTGAGGGTGTATCAATCAAGTTCAAATGAAGGAATCCAAGTGGTGCTTCTGAACAAGATATCGTAAGTATTTATTTTTTAAGTTGATCATTGTTTTATTAATTTAAATATAACGTGTTTTTTCATAGATGAACGAAGCGAAAGAGATGTTAAAACTAGACGTATCCTTTAAGAAGGGTTTTAAGTTTGATCATTTCTGGAACATCCTGAAAGACTCCGAGAGTTTATCAAATGTCACTGTATCGACTCGATATCAACGACAAAGTCCTTATCAATCACCTTCTTCCGGTCCTGATTCATCGTATGGGACAGATGTCGGTTTATCCTCGTTGACTATTCACGACACAGAAGGTAGTGCTTTAACTCAAAGACCAATTGGTGTCAAAAAGGCAAAATCAAGGCTCCAATCTGATAATAAGCTAGAGACTTTAGTCAAGGCTAGTAAAAAAATGAGCAAACAAATAGCCAAAAACAATGAAGTTATTATGAGAAGGAATGAGATTCAAGTTTAGAAAAATGTGATAGAGTTAAGGTTGGCGGATGACAAAATTATGGTCACCTATCTAAATTCTATCACTGATTATGTGTGTTTAATTCATAAAAAATGAGAAAATTCGAATAGCGAGAGAGAGAACGGAACCCCAGGTTCATATGTTTGGACAAGGATCAGAATATGTAGCATCTCAATATCAAGAATTTGGAGAACGAGTTCAAGACCAGGCCGAAAGATCTCAGAACATAGCATGAAACTTTAGTCAGTATATGGCTAGCGGAAACCAGTGGACCTTTTAATTTATCTATTTTAGTTTTTAAAATTTCCATTAATAAACTACATTTACGTTTATCCGGTATCATATTTGTGTTATTAATAATTTATTATATATATATATATATATACACACATAAATTTATATAATAAATATAAAAACCAAAAAGTTAATATTTGTAATTATTTATTTATAATTTCTCAAAAAAATGGATTAAAAAGAATTAGTGGTGGGGACCACTTTTTTGGTGTCCAAATCGTGCACGACATTTTTTCCGTTCAAATTCACCCTCCGGCCAAAAAATGGTGAGTTTGTCGTTCGATTGGACCTTTGAAAACGGCAAATACAAGGTTTTGCCGTTCGATTGGAGTTGCTCTAACTAGTATATAAACTATACAAAATCAATCTTAACACTTCATCTAGTTTAATGAATATTTGATTCAATGAATATCTCGATTCTTCCTGATATAAAACGTTGATCATAATAAATAAACTCTGATAATATTTTATAAATATCCAAATCATAATAAATAAGTTCTCACAATTTTTATGAATATCTCAATTAATTGGTTTATGTGGTTTGTAATAATATGGTGGTTTGCAAATGATCTGTCATACATATAGGAGTTGGTTCAAATGTTAACCAAGATTATTGTGTTAACTTTGCTAACCAATCTTGGCCATTGATTCTTACAATAAACGGTTGTGATTAATCATGATAAAAAATTAATTTTTTAAATTTRCAATTTCAAAAAACATATGTGAACAAAAGGAAAAAGGGTATTTAGCTAAGTTTCTTTTTTATGTAACTCCCATATCATTAATTGGGAGTTACAAAATCAAAAAATCTCATTTTTTTTGTTAATGTAAGAACCATATGAAAACACACACACACACACATAGAGAGAGACATATGAATAACATGTGAACTGTATGAACAACATGTGAACCGTATGAACATCTTCTGTATATTCAGGAGTCAACTTTGTTGTATGTACATGAACACGTATGAACCAATGCATCTAGGGTTGTATGTTTTCATACGTGCTCACATATCTTCACATGTTCTATGTGTGTGTGTGTGTGCATATATATATATATATATATATATATATATATACGGATTCATATGAACAACAAGTGATTTGAATTGACATGAACACTTATGAATCACAACATCCAAGGTTGTGTGGTTTCTGATGTGTTCATATGTCTTCATATGTCTGCGTGTGTCCCTATGTCTTTATATGAACATCTAATACATTATGTGTTAACTTCATATGCCTTCACCTATAAACTAATTAAATCTCTCAACAGAGCCAGCTCCTAAATATACAAAAGTTGTTCAACAGGTCAGCTGCAGTCACTTTTTTTGCAAGATAAGTGAGAACTGTCAAAGGTGAGAACTGTCGATTAAAACGAATGCAATATCATATTAATCCATTACCAATACAAACGCTTTGATCATTGTCTTCACTTCCGGAACTTGAAGTCCGATTGTCATCGTAAACCATTTTAACCTTCTCATTTCCATTGTTGTCGATCTGTTTTCCAATGGGTTTATCCATATTAGCTTGGACGATATCGAAAACTTTACTATCGAAAATCCTTTAACAATCACAAATTCAATAACATTATAGATAGATAAATTAAATTTCAAAAATAATCACAAATTGAAAAACAAGATCAATATTATATCATCATCAATTATGAGATTTTTATATTTTGTAACTCCCAATTAATGATATGGGAGTTACACAAACACTACTAGAAAACCAGGTATCAGCGACGACTATCAGCGAGGGAATTTTTCCCTCGCAGATCAGCGAGGGATCAGCGAGGGAA